CAAACACGCTACGTCAAGGCGAGGTACGACACGCTGTCTACGTCATCACTGGTACTTTGGCGTGTTGGGAGCTTGAGATTTGATCTACAGAGGCCATATGCGGATAGGCTATCCTATGGTTGTCCTATCCTATGACCTGTGAAGTGTGTATTTGATCTCCTTCTCCAACCGTCTCAACTCTCAACCTGAAGCATCATCCCGTGATGCCGGGAAAACTTTGTGTATAGATAAAGTGTATTACCTACTAATGCATCTGTTATCAGATTTGTAGGATTTTAGGCTTTTTTTTTCTCCGGTTCAACTTACTTTCAAAGGTGGCATCCGTATTCTCAATAGCAAGTCACCCCCGGATTAGGCATAACTCCAGAGTAAACATTGCAACTGGACACGTATACCCTGGAGTCTGGAGTTAAGACAAGACCAACGACCAACCTAAAGGTTTGAGAAACCGGCCCTCTCTGTATCATGTATAGTTATTGCATCGAACATATCGATACGGCCTCCAGATATGTTGTCAAGGCCTAAACGGATAAGGACGTCAAAAAATAGTATATTGTTTTATCAGGAGTAAAAGTGATACTTTTTCTCCAACTAAAACATGCGATTTTTTGCGCAAACGGTGTTCAAAGCGATGGAATCTAGGAAATTTCTCTGACGTCACTTTTTTATCCGGCCTTGAGCGCACAAAAAGTACTTTTTTGTACGTCCACGGAACGCGCGGACAAAAAAGTAACCAAAAATATAACGTCTGTGAAGTCAAACTTCAACATTAAGAATTGAGGTTAAAAAAGTCGTCATTTTTTGACTTTTGCGGAAAAAAAAATATATTTTTATTGATAACCTATTTCACTTATTTAAAGTACTCCTCAGCGTGTTTATCAAACATTCAAAAACGCGCGTGTTTTAAAGTTACCAATGACAACATCAACAACCAGCAACCCGAGGAAGGTCTAAATGTCAACTTTTTAATTATTGATTTGTCAGGAGTAGGTTAGGTACTTGTAGATAACGTCAAATAAAATGTAACAAGTGTCAAGCACAAATTTAGCATTCTCCAATTATTAGTAATTTATGATTTGAACGTATACCGATAAAAAAAAAATAATGTAAAGTATTCGTGGATAACTGGTCTTTAAAACACTTGCTCTATCGCGCGTGTTTTAAAGACCTTAATATCCACTTATACTTTAATATACTATTATGATATGACGTTTGCTTCTTTCTCTTTCTCGAGATAGAGCACGAAAAAATATATATTTTTTTTTTTTAATTTTTGTCATTTTCTTTGATTTTAACAGATGGCGTCACAAAAAAAATTAGCATATTGATACTGGTATCGAAATATGGATTTAGAATATCGATGCTGTTTGAAGAGTATCGATATTTTCAAAATATGGTACCTATTGAGACTGTGATTGAGAATAAAAATATCGATAAGCGAAAATCTAGATTCTAGATAAATAATCAGAAAATTCGGTGGTATGCGGTAAGCATTCCGACACAGAATAGATATCAGAATTAAGCAACAAAACACATCGATTCAAAATTTTTATGTGAAGGATAGGTTAAATTAATGATGGTCAATTCAAATTTCTTTTAGAGTGCTTCAAGCCCTTTTGAAGTGCTTCAAGCACTTTCAAAGTGCTTGAAGCCCTTTCAAAGTGCTTGAAGCCCTTTCAAAGTGCTTGAAGCCCTTTCAAAGTGCTTCAAGCCCTTTTAAAGTGCTTCAAGCCCTTTTAAAGTGCTTCAAGCCCTTTTAAAGTGCTTCAAGTCCTTTCAAAGTGCTTCAAGCCCTTTCAAAGGGCTTCAAGCTCCCAAAAGTGCTTGAAGCCCTCTAAAAGTAATTGAAGCTCATTGAAAGGGCTTGAATTACTTTTTTCAATTACAAATTACCAAGCACTTTTCTAAAGTAATTGACTTTGCAAGCCCCAATTACAAATCTATAAAAGGGCTTGAAGCACAGGGCTTTCAAGCCCTCAAAGTGCTTCAAGCACTTTCGCAAGCACAAAGCACTCAAGCCCTGCCCAGCTCTGCTGTATAGTAACGATTGTGATAAGCAAAAGCTTCATGTTCAACAGAATAGAGCTATGAGGGCAATATTGCAAGTGAATAGGTATGCCAGTGTAAGGAGTATGTTGGAATGTCTCTGTTTTATGAGTGTAAATCAAAGATTAGTTTTCAATAATTTATTATTTATTTATAAAATTGTAAACAGATTGTTACCTGATTACATGGTAAGTAGAATTATATTTGTCAATGATGTACATCTGTACAATACCAGAACATCGCGTAATATATTCATTCCAACTGCAAAAAAGGCATTAACTCAGAAATCATTGTTTTACAGGGGTCTTACTATGTACAATGGATTACCATTACATATAAGAGAAATGAAACGTTTGAATGAATTTAAAAGAAATTTAAGTATTTTTGTTAAGCAAAATTATAGCTAAATTCGGAATTTTGTTAAAGTATAAGTTAGGCTAAGAAATGGGAAATTGTGATAATTTATTAATTTATATATAATGATTTATTGTTCTTAATTGTATAGCACTGATGCTAAATAAACGAAGTTATTATTATTATTATTATTCACATTTGAGACGCGAGAAAACGCCTCGGGTGTCCCACTTTTTGTGCTCACAACTGTACAATCAGGGTCCTTACAGGGAGCAGCGTTCCCAGGAAAACGAGTGTTCCGCTGCTCCCCTGTTCCAAGAATAAGGACCTTGATTGTATGATCGGAGTCGGATCGGAAGAATGCATGATAGATGTGTCCCGGCCTTAATACGGGTGTCCGGAAAATAGCGTAGAAGCTCTCCACTACGTAGTAGGGGATCTTTTGAGTAACCCTGGAAAAATATTTAAAAAAATCCTTCTCGAACATTCTTGGAAATATGAAGGCGTAAATGTGGAAATTCAACTTCCTTATTTTTGATTTTTTTTTTTTCAAATTACAATATTTCGTACAAAGTGTGAGGTATCTTTTGTTGATTCACGACATAATGGTTTATTAAAATTTATTGTAAACCTTTAAAACGCATTATGAAAATTGCAAAATCTCATTACAACAGGAAAAATTGATTTGACAACTTTTTCTAGTTTGTATTTTTCAGGTAATTACATATTTCTTAGGTATTTAATTTAATTCTGTGACACATTGTCAACGGGATATTTTCAGTGTTGCCAATTTTAATAAACATTAAAATTCTAATAACTTTCTTAAGAATGCCACCAGATTTTTTAAATTATTTTTCTGGGGTTCCTTCAGGGGTCCTCCACCACGTAGTGAAGAGCTTTTACGCTATTTTCCGGACACCCTGTATTTATGCACAACAAAACACTTCAAACAAAGAACTTTTCTTTGTTACGTAACTTTTACGCTTCTACACAAAGGGGAAAAAAAAACAAAACTTGTGAATTATACCTCACACCTGAACTGTAAGCTACTTTTTATTAGGTGTACAAATATTTATAATAAGACTCGATTTTATTTAAATAAATTATATCTGCCACAGATAAAAACAATATCGCTATTCCCAAATCGCCTGATCACCACCAGCAGAACATCGGGACTGACACTAACTCATTTTTTTTTGCTGATAATACCCAACCCTATTCGGTTCCTCATTCGGCATTGTTAGCTAGGTGCAAGTAAATATTCTTTACATTCACCATAGACGAAATTGACCGCAAAGATAATCAAAACTGCCCCTCAACAATTAATTTTACTTTGTTTTATTTAATGAAATTATTGAATGACTTAAGCTAAAAACAGAATACATGAAATGTGACGTGATGGCATAATTAAGTCAAAATTGAAAAAAATTGACTTTTAATGTATTTTGCTCGTAATCTGATGATTTATTCAGCACAGTACACAAAAATTACGACGAATCTGAACACTTATTCCGACTCAATTTACTGGTTCTTGACAAACTGGCCTTTAATGTATCACCGACTTCTTTCCTTGGTGGCCGACTCTGTTTTATAGCGAGTCGTTGTTTCTAGAATTGTTTAGTTGTTCTTTTCGAATAAACATAGCGTTAAGGTTTAAAGTCAACCCCCATTTTCTGAACCTTGTGTTCAAAAATTCCAAAAAAAATATATGTTTTATGGTTATTGATATACCTACCTACTTTAATCCATAATTTTTTTAAGCAAATTTGACTCGCCATTTTTGAGAGATATCGCAAAAACTGAAAAAAAAAGTGGTTTTTCACCATTTATTTCAAAACGAATAGATGAAGTTTCCCGTTATTTTTATTACGAACTACTATTGCAATTCTACGCGACATATATTTTTTTCAAATTTTTTGAACTTGTAGTTTTCTCGCTACTGCAAGAATAGTTGGAAATACGCCTGTAGCTACACTGTTTAAAAAAAAATCCGTCCGAACTAACCATTTAAGAATAAAGAGCTTCAATCAATATCATAGTAGGCCTATTATTATTTTATCATTGTATTTTCAGATAATTCGCTTCCAAGAGTTTCAGGTATTTTCAATCAACGCGAATTCTCAATCCGAATTCACTAGATTAGTCCATTAATTTTAAATTTTATTCTTGACAATTCTGATAGATATCGGATCTGAGAGTTGATCAATATGCTCTAGAAATAGGTATAGATTTAAGGTTTAAGTGACAATCTATTACTTTAAAGCTCTCTAGGAGGAGAATATATGCTTCTTATTTCGAGATCATCCCTGGGGAACCCCAAGTGGTGTTACCAGAGTGTACACAATTTCCCAAACAAACGTAAATTTGGCACTCTAGTGATGATTTTGACACAGTAGAGGTAGGTATCAATTTTCAACCTTTTTTTTTTTGATGGAATATTTTTTCGATTGATTAAAACAATTCAACAACAAACTATTTAAAAAAATTCTCAAATTTAAATCTTTCTTGTGACGCTAGTGGTTGATATTTTCGCTACTCTACTTCCTTTGTACCTACTGACGAAAATATTATCGACAAGTATTCGGCCTTCAGCAGGAGCCAGCATCTTCAGCATCCCCAATATTCGTCCCCACAAAGCTAAACGTCCGCCAAATTAACTCCCCTCCGCCCCATACCATCCCTTATTTTGTTTGGCGAAATCCGGCGCCGTTACGTCACGACGCCTCTATATTGAAGCTGAGTGCGATGGCGTCGAGCCGACGGCGCGCGTCTACGTCTACGTCGTGCCTTCGCGAGACCTAATTTCCGAATTTTCTGCTACTGATGGTGATTATTTACATTATTATGTGTAGAATAGGAATGAGTTTTGTTAAAATTTAGGCAAAATTTGGCAAGCCGCTACTTTACATACTAGGTAAGCTTATCACTTGCTATTTCTAGACTAGATCAATTTGTATCTTATATATTATTGGACTTTTTATATAACAATAAAATTTCGTAGTCGAAATGTAATACTGTGACGTAGTAAGAAACAAAGTTAGTATAATTTTTGTGTATTATTATTGTATTCTGGAACTTCAACAATAGCCTTCATCCAGAGATTCTCATAATAAAAATATAAATACATTTTTTTAATGAGGCTATCTTGCAAGGTCATCCTGACAATGAAAAGTATTGTTTATCCACATTACAAAATAAAAGATGCAAATGCATTGGCTTTTCAAAATTTCACTTCCATGTTTTTGAGGGGAATTTCAGGAAATGTTTTAGATTATACAGGAAAATTCTAGCTACACAACGCAAATGAACTCAAAGTGTATAGTGTATGTCAATTATGTTTTTTACGTTTATAATTTTCAAGATTTTCAATCAACGCGATACAACCTTGATTTTCCTCAAATATTTTAAAATTTTTAAAATCTTTATTCATATCTGATTAATTTCGTAAATTACAATAATCCTAAACTAATGTACTAAGCAATTTATTGTAGGTATAATGTATTCGAGTGAGTAAACAAGTTCTTCTTGAGAAGTTTCGAATACAGGTCGACTTTAAATATTGCGTAGTTAGTTAGTTTGAGGTCAGTTTGAAGATGTGATCAGTGTTGTAGCATTTCAGTAAAAGCGATAATAGGTGCTCACTGAATTTTTATACCAATTCCAAAAGAAAAACTCAAAGTCTTCCTCCACAAATATACTCTCATCATCAGGAGCAAAGGAGCAAATTGGCTCAGGGGTTGTATTTTCGAACATTTTCGCACACGAAATTTGATACCATTTCAAATGCTCCCCATTTAATTTACATTGCTGCCAATCAAATTTCGTGTACGAAATATTCTCGAATGAATTCGAAAATACGATCCCAGGTATTAAAAGGCTGTCAGATCACTCAGATCATGTATTTTGTTAATTTTGTAGACGAAAAAAAGGTCAAAAATAGGAAGTTAAAAAATGTTGTGTCAAATTAAAGTAACTGTAATAAGCTCTCAAGAAGCTCGTGGTAGAAGAATTCTTCTAAGCCTGATCGTCAATGCGGCGAAGGAGCTGATTGCGCCCAATAAACATTTTTCGCAACTTATAGTAGTAACGCCAAGTTATACAATGGGCATATAATAGTAACAAAGGTATACAGTGAGGGGCAGGCTACTAGGTATATAGGATATAACTTGACGAATTTGCAGGCGTCCGCATGTGGCAAAATGACAAATATATTTAGTGCTAAAGGGTCATTTACATCCACTTAACTTAACTTGACGTATGGAAAATTAATAATAAAAAAAATTTGAAGATCACATAGTTGTTACATCCACTTAAAAATTAAGAAAATTAACGTGACACACGAAAAGTTAAACCAACTTGAGAAAATCCGTGCAATAAATAATAATTTCCATTTCTGTGCATATAATTTGACTTGACAGTTCAGGTTATAAGTGCGCATACGTCATGTAAGATAATTTACTTCATTGTTAACAGACACCTTCTCAGTTTCGTACGTTAGTTATAATTTTCCGTACCTTAAGTTAAGTTAAGTGGATGTGAATGACCCTTAACTCATGACAACTAGGTAAAAACAAAACGTGAAAAGACTTGTCACTCAAAAAACTAAGGCTAAAGACACCATGGCTGAGATACGTTTTCGGATACGAGACTAGGTCCGTAACTATGCGGACTACGAAACCACCGTATCTATTCTGCGCGTGCGCAGATCGATGCGGAGACGGATACATATAAAAATTCAGGATAAGCAAGTAGACACTTTAAGCAGGTCCTGAATTTCAAACGTAGGTATCTAACGCAGGATAGATAGTAAATACGGTGGTCTCGTAGCGTTACGTTGTCCGTATCGTTACGGGCCTAGCCTCGTATCTGTATCCGAAAACGTATCTCAATCATTTGACACTATTGAGGGATCTACCTGCCAGTTATTACTAAAATAACTTCAAGAACATAAACACAGTACTTATGGAAAAAAGAAAACCTACAAACACAGCTACAAAATCAAAACAAAACTTTTTGTGGTTAGAAAACGTGTCATCCAAGGATACGATCGTTTACGTAATGTATGACCATGAAAGGACTTTTAGGCGGTCAACGTAAGTCGATGCGTTCACAGAAGCGGATACGGATACGTAGGAATATTTAGGGTTTGCTTAAAGTGTCTAGTGTCTACATTGATAACCAACGCTTAGCTATCTGCACGCGTAAACTTAATAATTATAAATAAATAAAGCTTGACGAAATATCTGAAAGCATGGCGCAGACGCTACGTTTTGTCTGCATACAGTTAAACACTTAGAACAGGTAAAGCGCTGTCCTACGGACATAAGGAGTAGGAACGCGCCATTTTGCTATGACACTAAAGTGAAGCCAGTTTTTGGCAGGTGTTTGTACACGAAATGACAGGTAAAGCATTGAATTGCCCTTAGAGCAGGTAAAGCGCTGTCCTACGGACATAAGGAGTAGAAACGCGCCATTCTGCTTATGAAACTAAAGTGAAGCCAAGTTTTTGGCAGGTGTTTGGCACCAAAATACAGGTAGAGCATTAAATTGCCATAACCGCCATTTTTTGTGGGCCAAGATACCTGGAAAAAAACGGCTTCATTTTCCAAATCCAGGTTACTACTCCTTTACATTTACCTGCTCTAAGGAATTGCCTATACCGCCATTATTTTGGATCTCAAAATACCTGGAAAAATACGGCTTCAAATTCCAACTTTATGTTCCTATTCCTCCCACCTAGGAAATTACCTGCTCTAAGGTTAAACACGTTGCAGACAAAACGTTTTGATCAGTAAGCTGAACCGTAGCGTCTGAACCGTGCTTAAGTCTGTATCTAAATCGTACTGAAGTGAACAAATGTCAAAGTTGTTGAACGAACGACAGTGACAGGGGCTCAAACGGCTGCGGACGGTGGTAAATTCGTCAAGTTGGATCCTATATACCTAGTAGCCTGCCCCTTACTGTATAAGAAGGTTTCCAAGTTTTATAATCTGCAACCTATGATAACATAGTTTTATAAAGTATATATAAATTTACTATAACTTACAGGTATATAATAAGGGGATGTACCTATTTCCATCACCATTTTATAAAACTTTTAGTACCCGTTAATAAGGTATTTATAATAAATATTTATAAAGGTTACCGTAACCTCATTTATATAACTAGAATACCCCTGGTTATATAGAAGTGTTGTCCATCACCTTTATAAAACCTGGAAACTAGTTGTGTTTGAAGTATATATGTTATAAAACTTTTGGTAACGATAATTTCTTTTATAAAACCTTTAGTGAAACGAAACTACCTAATTTGACATAGTGTCTGTTGTTGTTTATTATTGTTATAAGAAATCTGTGCATCATGCTTTAAAAAATAAAGTTCAGCACATCATTTCGCCGAAAAATTTCAAAAAACTTCAATAAAATCTCAAATTCAGTGCCCTCAGTGTCTTCCAACGAGGACACTATACACAAGTTCCTATAGACAAGAAAATAAATTACTTGAGAGAACTGATAAACATGATGATTATAGCAATAACACTATTTTGAGACCAAAATTGCCAATATCGGCGCTGACGATATCTGGTTAAAAGTTATATAATGTTACTAATAGTTATAAAATATAACCTTAGGTGATATTATAGTTTCCAGAGTTTATATTGATACTAAAGTGATCCGCCATATTTTTTTACCCAAAATCATAATAATAAAAAAGACGCGTTGCAAAAACACTAGGTTTAGCTGATTTTGATACATAATATACAATAATTGTTTAATACTGGCATATGCAAAACGGAAATAACATTAATTTCTTCTTAAATCTCATTTTAATTAATATTTATATATATATGTGTATATTTTGTGAGAAAACTCATTTGAAATTAATAAGAAGTGAATACTTCAAGGGCCCCTGCGTTTTTTCGAAGTACCTACCGGTTCTACTTTTGCAGTAGAAAAAGTTTCCCAACTATATTTTGAGTCTACCAATGCTGTAAAGCTATAACAAAGTACCATCGTTTTCTAATAGGTAAATAATATTAATATTTGAACTCCGTATTTGTTTTTATTTAGTAACAGACATCTTGAAATAGAATTGTGGGAATAGAATAGTAGGAGACCATTTAAAGCAATATATTTGAGAGAGAAAAAATATGTATTTATAATGATGACAGAATTGACAACAGTTATATAGTGGTTACCACAATATTCCCGTTACCAAAGGTTACATAAATTAAAGTTATATACCGTTACTAAACACAGGTTTTCGAAACCTTTATAAACGCTCAATTTAAGCTCTTTGAAGGGTTTATAGGAGTAACAGAAATATTTCGGTAAATGGATAGAAAACCTTAAGTTATATAAAGAAGGTGATATAACATTTACGGTAAATATTATAAAATATTTTTTTAATTTCTCAGCTATTTTGTACTTTTAAAGGAATTAGTTCTTATACTACAGATTGTTGTATAAAATAATTATCTGTAAATGATAACCTATGTAATTGTTATATCAGGTGCAAATGATGCAAAAATTGGAATGGGAATGAATGAGTAAATTATCAACTAACTTTATACTATCTACTTTGCCTTATTATGAGTTCATTACTATTTAAACCTATTTCTCTAAGAATTTAAATCAATAAAATATCCTCTGTTGGTGTAGCAAACTGAAACAATTTTCGAATAACATAGACCTTCTTCACCTTCTTGATTTGTCTGGTAAATCTATCAGGAAGATTTTAGTTATCAAAAACCATATTCAAGCAAGAAAGGATCAAGTAAATTGGCGAGTTTGATTAGGAATGCTAACTGGTTTTAGTGGTATAAATTGTACGAACCTAAAACTCGTTACTCACTTATCTTCCCATTTAACTTTGGAAAAGTCTATTACTGAAATTAATGATAGAGGGACTTAG